TGTGTATTCCTTCTACTTTCTCTTGATGCTTTCTGCATCATTCAATAATTTGTCCAGAGGATCCTTCAATAATGAGAGTCGAGGCTTGTGTTCTTCCTTTTTGGTTTTCTGATTCCAGGAGTAGAAAACCTCATTTCTCTCCCGAAGAGCCGCTGGTGACTTCAAACTGCTGACCTTGTGGTTAGCTGCCCAACACGCAACCAATTATGCCACCAGAGACCCCCAAATAAAAACAAACCAACAGAAAACAAACTAGTTACTGCACTCTAGACTTTTCAAGGCTCTCCTCTTTCAGCAATAAATTGCCTGGCCTTCCTTCCAAGGTGCCTCTGGATGGATTTGAACCATGAGTCTTGGGGCTAGTAGCTAAACACCAGTTTGTACCATAAAGAATTCCCAATGGTTCTCAAATTTTTCCATCTCAGGATGCCCTTGTTGTTGTTGTTAGGTGCCATTGAGTGACCTTATGGACAGCAGACCTTCCTGACCCTGCACCATCCTCACAATTGTTGTTGTGTTTGAGCCCATTACTAATGCCACTGCGTCAATCTAGCTCCTTGGGGGTCTTCCTTTTTTTTGTTGACCCTCCACTTTATCAAACATTGTCCTTCTCCAGGGACTGGTCCCTCCTGACAATATGTCCCAAATATGAGAGACGAGTCTGGCCATCCTGGCTTCTAAGGAGCACTATGGCTGTACTTCTTGCAACACAGACTTGTTTGTTCTCCTCCAACACCATAACTCAAATGCATCCATTCTTCTACGGTCTTCCTTATTCATTGTCAAACTTCCACATGCATATGCACAGCAACAGAAAATACTACAGCTTTGGACAGGCACACCTTAGTCCTCAAACTGACATCTTGACTCTTTATCATGTTGAAGAGATCTTTTGAAGCAGATTTGCCTACTGCAATATGTCATTTGATTTATTTTTTAATTTTTAATGTTTTATTGTGAATTATGTGATAGTTTACATGGAAGAACATTAGCTTTACATTCATCCTATCGTATATCATTTCATTGCCATGGTTA